ATAATACGATACGATTAACATAAATAATAAATTCGTTTAAATATAATAAGAATAAATACGAATAATACGGATATACACGAACAGACATAACTAATATGAATATACAAAAATAGACAACACTAATACGAATATATATGAATAGACACGACTAACATTAATATACACGAATAAATACGACTAACACCAACATATACAAGAACACGACTAAAATAATAAATAATTATAAATTATCTATCATTTATAACTTAATGAATTTGACATATAAATAATGTAAAAAAGTACTTACATATTAAAAAAAATTTAATACTCATTTAATATGTATTTAATATATATTTAAATTTTAATTTATATTACATAACTATATTAATTTTTAGTATCAAATTTAAAATGATAAACTATTAAAGATTAAAAAATAAAATAATAATGTATAGGACCAATATTAATATTTATGTTGTATTTATATTATTAAAAAATAATTTTATAATAATTATTAAATGAGTATCATAATTAACTATTTAAAATAATTTTTATATAATATTAAATAGTTAATTAAGTATCATAATTAAAAAGATAAAAAACTAAAATAATCTTTATATATTTATATTAAATTAAAATAAATATAAAAAATATATTAAATGTGTTAAACATATTAAATGTGTATATATATGATAAGATTTAATTAAATATGTTATTCATATTGTGTTATGTATGATATGTCAATACATATATGACATAAAATTATATCATATTAAACGTATTGATATAAATAAGTATAGATTATATTTTTTCAAATATATATAATTTTTATATTATTTTTATATTATATCATTATATTATATTTAAAATTATTATATCTACGTTGAAAGCTCGTATTCTATTCCATTTCTCGAGTTTGAATATTGCTACATCCTAGAGTTCGCTACTATTTTTTTTCACTTTCCAATTAGCTTCGGAAATTTTTGGGTCGAGCGAGCGTCCCTAATTTGCTAATTCTCTGTGAGATCCCCCCCGCATATCTAACGGCGGCAAATATTCAAATCGAACCCCAAAAGAGTTAGATGCCATCGAAAAAGGAGAGTACTTGATGTGATAGTTTAGTCCCTTTCACATCAGCTGCTATATTAACTCCTTTTTATAGCAACCTTTTTTTTCTCTTGATCTTGACAAGTTTCGCATCTCCCACCTCGTTCTTTTCCCACTGTTTTTCCCTTCACTTCCTTTTCTTTGATTGTTTCTGATACAACTCCCTGAAAAGCCAAAAGAAATTTTAGACTAACGGTTTTCTTCCGAGAAAAAGAAAATACTACTACTAGTAGTAGAACTTGAAGAGCAAAACAACAAAAATATTTACTTGGGAACACTTTCCGATGGATGATGGTTTATGTGAGTTTTTCGAAGAAGCTGAATTTGGAGAAACCAACCTGGCCACTGGAGATGACCTGTTTGCTTTTTTTGAGGGTTTAGATGGTCTCCCTGGATTTCCACCCTTCACTCCATTGGAAGAAACCGCCGTTGCTAACTGCCGAAAAGATGGTGAAGAAACAACGAGGTTGGTGTCCCAGAAGTCTACTTCTTCCAGCGCTCAACAGGAGTCAGAGACTGAGCCCGAAACTTCACCCAAAAGCAAGAGGCAGAAGCTAGCTTCTTCAGAGGAAACAAACCCAGATGGGCAACAAAGAATGTCTCACATCACGGTTGAACGCAACAGGAGGAAGCAAATGAACGAGCATTTATCGGTGCTGAGATCGTTGATGCCTTGCTTCTATGTGAAAAGAGTAAGACACTTAATTTGTCTTAATTTCTTGTCTTACTAAGTATTTATTTAAGCTTTATTTGAGCTTGTTGTTAGTATTTAAGCGTTATGTATAGGATAATAATCCTAATAATATTTTAGTTAATGTTTAAACTGTTATCTAGGACCTCGGTTTAGTTCATCTTTTTTTCTCTAAAGAGAAATCCCAGACTCGCTTCTCTGTAAATCTTCAAGTCAATATTTCTAACAGCCAGGCAGGGTCGTTGACAAAGGGGTATTTGGGAAATCTTGCTTGCACAGACAAGTTTTTTTTTTTTTGTCATTTTCCGTATATTATCTTTGTATTTAATTACGTGTTAGGGAGATCAAGCATCGATTATTGGGGGCGTTGTGGATTATATCAACGAGTTGCAACAAGTTCTACAATCCCTTGAGGCCAAGAAACAAAGAAAAGTTTACAGCGAAGTATTAAGCCCTAGGATAGTTTCAAGTCCAAGACCCTCGCCTCTCAGCCCTAGAAAACCACCTTTGAGTCCAAGACTTAACTTGCCGATAAGCCCAAGAACCCCTCAACCTGGTAGCCCTTACAAGCCAAGATTGCAGCAAGCTGGTTACCTCTCTCCAACCATGACTAGTTCCCTCGAACCATCTCCTACTTCTTCAACTTCCTCAGTGGACAATGTTAACGAGCTCGTTGCAAACTCAAAGTCTCCGATTGCTGATGTGGAAGTGAAGTTTTCAGGCCCAAATCTTCTTCTACAGACGGTATCTCCTCGGATTCCTGGTCAGGCTGTGAAAATAATTTCCACTCTTGAGGACCTCTCACTCGAAATTCTCAATGTCAACATTAAAACCGTTGATGAAACCATGCTTAATTCCTTCACTATCAAGGTAAAAACTCTACTCCCACTGGGAAAAATTATCAAATTCATATACTGCCCGTAAACTGTAAAAAACTTTACTAGTGGTCAGCTCTAGTATAGTAAATGAGAAAAAAAAAAAAAAAGACAGCGAAGGTATCAAAAATTCTCATTTTATATTCTGAACTGCTAATAGAAAAGGAAGATGCCCTGGTTTCTTTAAGGTTTCAATCATTTTTTTTTTGTGCAATGATGTTTTCTCAATGTTGTTTCGATATTTTAGCTCCATATATATTTCAGTCTGTTTTATCATCGCTGTGTCTCTTTTGTTGTTTTTCACTTTACTGCCCTCAAACCATATTTGATCTTGAATGATTTCCTCCATCATTGAGAAAAGCATTAGGACAGTAGAATCCACGGTAAAATTGCACTGGTCCAGGGTAATTTTATATTAAAAAGGAATCAGTTGCAGTAGTTTTCATTCTGACGTACGTTAGTGTACCGCTGCGGTACTACTGTAAAAAGTTCACTTCATAAATCATAGCTCTTGAAAAACACGATGGGTCAATGAAAACTAGGTATCTTTGCAGTCATTTTTGTTTTTCTTACAATATTGCGATAATTATGATATGTGTCTTTGCAGTTACTTTTTTTTTTCACCGAGTTTAAATTTATTGAGAGGAATTGTTTGGGTTTATGTTTGTGTTGAGATTTATGGGAGCTAATGATTAAACCGTATATATATATTTTTCCTTTTGGATGAACAGATTGGAATTGAATGCCAACTGAGTGCAGAAGAACTTGCCCATCAAATCATGCAAACATTCGGCTAAGTTTACTCATCATATTTTCAGCCGTAATTTCCAGACTCTTCCTCTCTGCCTCTGGTCTGTCTCAAAAGTTGCTACATTATTCAAAAAAATAGAGAATGGAAGGCCATGGCAATATATATGACATGCATGTAATTACTGCCTTCATTTCTATTAACAAAGTAATGTAATTGTAGATTTGTGATCATGACTTGCATTAGCTAGTGTATAAGACCCTTGTAATTTTGCGGTCTCAAAGTTTAATTAATTTGCATATTTCCATGTACGGACATACAATATCCATTTGTTTAAGTTAATTTATTCTCTTTTTTTGGCTATTCTTGGCTGATCTAGTTGTTGCATGCTACTTTCTATTACTTTCAAAAATGACTTGATAAACAACAATAATATTTCTATTGCTCTAAACTCTTAATTTTAGTGATTAATATTCAATCCTAGACGGCTTCATACAAGAAAAGCAAAAATATATTTAAGTAGTGTAATAAAGATATATAACTAAACATGCAACACATAACCTCTGAAGACTTGAAGAAATATAATTAATAGGTACGTCAGGAGTAGTCAAGATTCTTGTCTCAACTTTTCTTAATTTTGATCCTATAGCTAGTTAGTTTAACCCAATCCTGTTCCAAAGCGCATTTTCGGAAACATAGATGTTTCAAAGTGCATAATTTTCTTCAATGTTTTTAGTCCAAATTAACAGGTGCCCTAACTAGAGAAAATGACATTAATAATGTGAGATAACTAATCAATTAAATACGAACTTCCCAACTTTTGATTAGCTAGAGTTACCAAACTCAGTGCAAGATTGATGTTTGATTGTACTTGGATATATATAAGGTGGACCACATATATAGCTAGCTAGATGAGGTTGGAGTGGACCAAAGTATTTTGGGAACTCCTAGCTAGTTAGATGAATCTGTCGCTGGAATTAAATAAGTTGCATGTTGGAGAGAAGGGAAACACGAATATATGGATTAATTCCAAACCTTGCTAGTCAACCAACAGTTAATTTTGTTCTAATTTGGTCATTTTTTCTTTTTTCTTTTTTTGTTAATACCAAGCCTTGTATGTATATTATTGATTGAGTACGTAATTTAATTGTTAAGCCAAATCAAGAGTATCTTTAAAAACTTATATATGAATCCTAATGTTTTAATTGAAGAATGACGAATTCAAAAATTTTAAAAAAGTGATTATTGATAAATTGAGTATCGAAATTTTTAGTCATGTTCATTGAAAAACTACTGGAGCAACATTATTATTTACGAAATGATATAGTTCCTATTTTCTTAAAGGATAGAAACACCATTAATTATGGGACTAAAAATGGCATATATTTGAGTTGAAGATTTGAACGCCAACTTTTCTATAGTATTATGTAAGAAGTGACTTCTCTTTCAAAACTAACCTACTATGAGGATCTTCATGCACGTAATTAGTAAGATTATCTCAAGCATATGTAGTAATCTTGTGTTAGAATTTTGTTTAATAAATTACTATAACGTAAATGTTTAATATTTATATTTATTTTAGGAATATATTCTAAGTCAATATATCATCTCAGCTAGTATATATTTAAGTTCATATACACTTAGGATTTCCAAAAATAATTTCATCAAATTTCCTTTTTCAAAGGAATAAAATATAAAACACATTTAATAACATCAACAACAATAATAATCCAAAAAAAAGAATATTCAGCTGAGGTGTAACAATGGTCCCATGCATGCAATCTTAAACAAGAATTGCTCAGTAGAAGACCCAAAATTTGCATGACTGCCTTAATGAGGCTTAATGTGGACCACTGAAATAAAAAAATTTTCGCAGTTATTTATTTATTTTTGTCTGCTTTTCTTTTAACTCAGGTTTGGACCACCTAATAAAATCGTTTTCTCAGCAGCTCAAATTTAGAGGAGGAATCATAGTTCTGGTACAAATTAGAATGGATTACTCATCCCAACAACGGCATATGAAAACGGTGGCTCATCAGTCATCATCACACTATGTTTATGAACCTGGGCTTTGGAATTTCTCTGGCAGTGGGCTTAAACAGAAAACCCGATAGCCTCACCTTTGGGTTCCTTTTTGGGTGAACTTTTAGCCTCCTTATATAGGGTTCAGAATTCTACTTTTGCCTACATTGGGTTTAAAGTGTAATCTTTTACGGCCCATGATTTGGGCACACGAAACTGACTTCATTAAAATTGGAAAAAGGTAACACTTCATCCCGCAAAAGAAAAGAAAAAACTAAGTACAGTCTACATTTGCTACGAGACATATCCTACAGGGGCCTAAAATCGAACTCTTGTTTGTTACAGAATTGAGTTAAAAAAGGGAGAAAATTATTCTGGAGAGGGAAAAATGAGAAACAAAGGTTTCTTGGCTACAAGGATTAGGATTAGGAAAAAAAACCATGGTTGTCAAATGTGAAGTTTGGATCGAATTCGGCATTACCAAATGGGAAATCCAAACCAACAGTGGGAAGGTTTGTTGCTGAAGTAGAAGCTTGGATAATCTCAGCGGGCTGAGGCACAAAAGTTGGAAAATTAACGTTTCCCTGCATATGAGTACTGCTCATCCCGCTTGGACTTGGAGACACAGAGCAATAGTTAGACCCGGATGTTGCAGGCGATATTAAAGAAGGTGAAAGATTTCCCACCACATTATTGTTGTTCATCACAGAAGGTGAAAAGACAACATTGTTTTCAACCTTTATATTAGATCTCGTTGATGACGGATAATTAGGGAATGAAGGATATGTTTGTTCTCTAATGTGTAAGTCTTGGGTTATAACTTTAAGTCCCCTCCGGAAGCTCAACAGTAGATCTTGTGATTGTTTCTGGGTTTGTTCTTCTTGCTGGTTATGCTGCTGTGGGTCTATGCTTGTTCCTTGTTCTTGATTTTCTGAGAGTACTGAGGGAGGCATAACATGGGAGGCTAGATTACAAGTATGCCTTCCGCGGTAAGTAATGTCAAAGATTGTTGGGTCATCATCTGATCTTTGTACTTGCTTTGTAGCCAAACAACCTTGTACATTTCGGTGGGTGCACCTGTAGTAGCCTCTGTAATCATGAAATTAAGGATGGTTAAGCTAGGATTTGACACAATATCCAACATGTTCAATATTGATTACCTAGAAGAACAAAAGAACATGTAAATTTCAACCAAATCTTGTCAAAACTGGACATACATACATAGTTGAAATCTTGTCAAAGCTGGACATACATACATATATATGTATGTATGTCCAGTTTTGACAAGATTTGGTTGAAATTTACATGTTCTTTTGTTCTTATAAATAAATAAATAAATAAATATATATATATATATAAATTGAAAGCAGGAATGATACAGCCAATGACATGTTGACAACAAACAGGTTAGACTTTATAATTTAGGACTCTGTCAAAAAGGTTATGCATGCTTTAGAGTTGACGTGGACCAACTGTCAACGGATAATTGCTCTCATGGAGTATTACGTTAATATATACAAATAATATATAGAGTACAGGCTTGCAATATGCTTCAATGCCTAATTGCATTATACAAATAAATAGTATATACCTTGGATATTTTGCACCTAGAATATCTTTTTGTCCATATTTCCTCCAACTGAAGCCATCATCAAGAGGTCCCTCCAGGGCTGTACCAGGCGTAACTCGGACTTGTTGTGTCCATCTTGGCAGAGTTTTTCTGCAACATAAAATAAAATTCAAAACATAATTAATCTATTGCATCAAATGACTTTGGGACAAATTAAGGCTTGGTTAAACGAGTTAAACGTTGAGTTGAGTTGAGTTAACTTGTATCTTTATAAAGTGCTTTTTTTTTTTAAAAATTTTATCTATACCTTTTCTTGGAGGCATCGAATTTGAGCTCCTGTTCCTTGAAATCACGGTCAGAGTCTTCACTCCGGGGACTTGCACTACGAGAAGGTGGTGACTCCGACATTCTGATTGCTAGTCCTGAGGGTTGTGGCTGATCTACTGCCAAAGACGTATTGCAGTTTAGCATTGAAAGTGCCTTCTCGAAGGAAGCTTGGATCTTTTGGACTAACAATTCACGAGTTTCATGAGAAGAAGAAGGCACATTGAGATAGACTTGGAGTTGCCTAGCTAGCTCTCTTCCTTGTGTTAGTTCATTTATTAAACTCCTTTGCTCCCATTCTCCCATGTTCTCCATTTATGTAAATTAAGCAGACAAAGAAAGGAGAAAATCAAAACTATTCTTTCCCAAAGTGCACGAACCAGTACGCTAAGTGTATAAATTCTAGACACCAACTAGACAATGGAAACTTGATCGATGAAGTACGTAGAAGCTGAAAGCATGGATGTAAATGATACTGGAACTGGAATTCAACAGAGAAAAAAAGACAAATATTGAAAACTTAAAAGACCATGACAAAAGCTGCTTTTTTCTTGTAAATAAAGAACTTTGATGCTGATGAGACAAATTAAGTTTGCAAAAATGGTTTCCCGTAAAGAAGCCAAATATATCAGGAACCTAGCTAATTATTAAAATATAAGGGTGTGATGAGTTTTTGTGGGTTTTTGGAATGACACCCTAAAATCTTGTGAAGATAAATAAACAAAGGGAAAACCTGAGGAAGGAGGGAGAATATGGGTTTGTGATTTAAGGGACATTCCCTTTTTGAATCGATCAGGAGATGAAGGAGGAGAAGTTTGACTGTGAGAAAAAAATGAAGTGGGGGATTTTCCATTGAGACCGGTCTTTGGTCATAGAAAATGTGGTTCAAAGTGGAGGAAAGTCAAACTGCTGACCCTTTCTCCCTCGCATTAAAATTTTCAACTGATTAGACGCAAAATCACCACCCCATTTTCACTCTTTCGTGTAAGGTTTTACCAGTCGGTGCATGCTCCAGCCTAGAAGATTCTTAGCACCTAAACGGAAAATTATAAACAAATAAACCAAAAAGTAAGTCAGAGAAGAAGACCAAGAATCTTCAAACTTTGCCAATTCCGCGTTATCTTTTTTTTTTTTTTTCGGTCCAGGAAAAAAATGATGAAAAGGTTGCGTTAATTGTCAGTCTGTCGCTTACCTTATTTGATTATTTTAGGCTTAATTAAAAAAATTCTGAACTAAAATGAAATAATTGTTCAAATTTTTATCATTTTATTATAATTAATTAGATTTTAAAAATTTTATTTTTATTTACTTTTAAATATATATATTTTTATCTAATTGAGTTCTTAAAAAATTATTTTCATCAAATTGAATCTCCAAACAATTATTTTCATCCAATTAAATTTTTGATTAGATAAAAATTAATGATGATAATTAATTAAATTTTGTTCAATCAAAATTAAATTGAATGAAAATGAATATTTAAAAATTTAATTAATTATAATAAAATAATATGATTACTTAATTTTAATTTAGGAGTTTCTTTATACTTAAGCGCTTTTTTTAATCATATTCTACTCATATTTTGTTGAAAGTATTAAATATTAACTAAGGTAGAATCAGATATCTCAACGTGGAAATTGGGTTATTGACTCTTTTATCAACATTAAAAAATAACAATACAAGTTACTTGAATTGACAACATGGATACTTTCCTCGAGGGATCCTCATACATTAGATTTTTTTTTTTTTTACATTATTGACAACATGGACTCTTCAGATTTACTTGGTAGGCTGGAATTTCTAAATTAGTAAAAAATTCTTTCTTGTTCTAACTTTTGACTCCATCTATATATGAAATATGACTGCCAATGTAATTTTCTGAATAATCAAAATTACTCTAATTCAAAATCAAACAAATTGATAAAATTAAAGATGTTTATGATTTGAATCACATTCCATTGATATCTTTGAAAGATTAACTAAAGTTCTGTTCGATTTGCCTATACATTTTTAAAATAAATTTTAAAATGAAATATGATTATTCAATAATAAAATATTTTTACACAATTCTATTAAGTCCAAACTTGAAAAATCCTATCTGGATCCCAGTTGAAATTTATCTAAGCCTGCGGGTGTAGTAAAATTAAATCGAACTACACGTTTATTTTGTCTTTGGTTCAATGAAAAATTCAACAACTCAATAGTTGGACCGATTCAAATTCAATGATTAGCTAAAAAAACGGGGAGACATTCTTTTTTGCGGAAAAATCTGCTGATGGCAAATCAGAGGAAGTTGCGCAGTAATAATTTTTGCCTCCAAAACTAAAGTCTTTGAGAGGTTAGGATGGTGGAAAATTTGAAGTTTGGGAGCCGCAATCTGAGAGTCTAATAAGTATTCTAGACGTTGATTTCAGACGAAGAGCTCTTGGTCCAGGACTCCTTCTTCCTGGCCTTCTACGCGTAGGAATAGTCCCACACCACGATCTGCTGACTTCTTTTTGTTTCAGCTGTTAAAATTGAGCCCGGTTCACGGCTCAATACGAACAGGAATATGAATAAAAGTATAAATACGAATAAAAGTATAAAGGAACAAATTAGATACACTAATATATGCATTTATAATGTATAAAATATTGATAATTTTTATATAAAAATTATGTGTTAGAATTTGTATCCAAAAATATAAAATATATTTTTTATTTTTATTAAATTATATATAATTTTATTAAAATTTTAAATAATATCCTTTTCATTTTTTTTATATTATATTCATATGATATCATTTTCTTTTACATTTTAAATTATCATATCTAATAACTTAATTAGTTTATTCAATCGCCTAACTACGAATATTTGCAAGAGTCTCTTCAAAACTAGGGTTTCTGTGAGAGGAGTTATGAGTTTCATGCAATACCTTGGGGTTCGCAGTCCAAGTTATTCTTAGAGTTCTATATAGTATTTGGTTTTTTCTTTTTTCAAATTTTTCTCGGTTAGTCGTTTGTTTCCAGTTAACATAGGGTTCCGTGGCTGAGGAGTTAGAAGAAATACGGAAGTCCCTAAACCTAACCGAGGAGGAGTATGAGAAGATCACACCAGAGGAGGGGCGATCCCAAGATGATGAGGAAGACGAGAACAAATGGATGGTGGGAATTCTCTTAACAAACCAGCCCTTAAAAAAAGAAGCAATGATTGGAACTTTCAGAGTAATATGAAAACTGTCAAGGGAGATGCAAATCACATGCTTAGATGTAAACCTTTTTCTTTTTAAATTTGCAATGAAAAAGGGATAAAGAAAGGGTCATAGACCGCTTGCCGTGGTCGTTTGATAAAAACTTGCTGGCAATGAAGGAATACAATGTTGCGCTGAAAACGGATGTGTATGTGTTCGACACGGCCTCCTTCTAGATTAGGATTTATAGTCTGCCTCTAGGGATGATGACTAGGAAGATGGCAGAGAGGCTGGGCAATATGGTTAGGGTATTCATCAAAGCGGATGAAGACAAAAACCGAAATTGGTGAGGAAGATCACTGTGGATTAGGGTATAAGTCAACAATAACAACGGAGAAAGGTAAGAAGATATCAGGGCCAGACTAGCCTATAAAAGGCTGAATATTTTTGTTACACACAATAAAAAATTTTCATATACAGATGTTTAATTACATTGATGGTCAAATAATATTAGTAAAAAATATTTTTACTAATAAATTTTTAATATTGTCAAGATCTATCATATTTTTGTTAATATTTTATACAATTGTTAGTATAGATAAACTTTTTTTTATAGTATATAATTATCTGTTAGTATAAATATGCTATATATTGATATTTATTTATACTGACGATCAAATTATGTAAGAAAAAAATATCTATACTAACGAATTTTTTTTATTATTAGTATAGACAGTGTTTATACCAACACTTTATAAAACTATCGGTATAAGTAAACTTTTTCTGACGGTATAGAAATATCCGTCAATGTAAATATGTTATATACTGATGGTTATAATAACTATTAATATAAGATAAAAAAATATTTATTCCTAATTTCTTTTTTAAAAATATTAATTCATAATATTTCCTTCTAATAAAAATTTTTAAAAATTATAATTTGATAAAAGTTATAATTATTAATAAATAAAATTTGTAACTTAATTAATTTTAAATGATAATAAGTTTTAAAAAAATTTGTAAGTATTATATTTATTAATAAATTTATAATTAAATAATAGAATAAAATTTTTTAAATTTCAATATTATATTAATTTGATTTCAATTAATATTTCAGTTTTAATATGATTTCATAAAATTTTAAAATCATTCTAGATCAAAAGTCAAATTATAAGTAATCTACATATATAGTAGTATTCATATAAATATTTATCTATGTAATTTGTAAAACATTTTTGTAAAATAATATTTATCATTCACTGTATTAGCAGTTTGGGATTCTAAAGTTTAAGAAAAAGGAATGAATTTTAAAAATGATTACAAGGCATTTGACCCAAAAAAAAAAAAACACACATTCAATTTTTTATAAGGGAATATTTAAGGCATTTGTTGGGCAAAAACACATTGAATATTCTTAAAAAAAATGTTGAGATTATTGAAGGTATTTTTAATATAAAAAACCTCGAATAATCCCATATAAATGAACAATTCGTGGGTTATTGAAGGTATTTTTGACTAAAAATACCTTGAATAATCCACAAATTATTCAAAGTTTTTTAGCTAGAAACGCCTTCAATAACCCTATAATAAAAAATGAAAGGAATTATTCAAGGCTTTTTGGCCATAAACACATTGACTAACTCCATTCAATTTTTTCTTAAGGATTATTCAAGGCGTTTTCTTACAAAAACTCCTTGAATAATCCAAAAAACAATGGAAGGGCATTATTGAAGGCATTTTTGGCTAAAAATGCCTTCAATAATCCTATTTAAAAAATTTGAGGGGATTATCAAAAGCATTTTTGGCCAAAAACACCTTTAATAATCCTATCATAAAAATTGAAAAGAATTATTCAAGGCATTTTTTGCCATAAACGGCTTGACTAACCCATTCAATTTTTTCTAAGGGATTATGTAAAGCGTTTTTTGGCTAAAAACGCTAAACGCCTTCAATAATCCCATTATAAAAATTAAAAGGGTTTATTCAAAGTATTTTTTGCCATATATGCCTTAACTAACCCATTAAATTTTTTCTAATGAATTATTTAAGGTGTTTTCTTACAAAAACTCTTTTAATAATCCCAAAAAAAGGGATGAGATTAAGCCAAAAACTCTTTCAATAATCCATTCATAAAAATTTTGGTCAGAAACACCTTCAATGTAAGCCATTTAACCTAACTAAAAACTAAGAAAATAGCCATTACCATTTTGAAAAGCATGTCTGGAAATGATGTAAGTCAATTTTAGGTTTATGCCCAAAAAATATTTGATTTATATATGCAATTCTATGAATTATATTTTGAAATTTACAATATGAACATTATAGTATTTCACTAAATTAACCATACATCCAAATTTATAACTGATAACGTTGCCATACAAATATACTTTTTTCAAATAATTGTTCTTAATATATGTGTATTCATATAAGCTGCCAATTGATATAAAATAGATATATACAAATAATATTAAACTAATATCCCAAGTTAGAAACATAAATTATCCAGTTAACATGGCATGTTAAAAACATTAAAAAAATGAAATACCTATATTTACACCAAACCAACAATCTTTAACCTCAAGGTTTAGCAAATGATAATACATATTCAGCCCATTCTTTACGGACTTC